CCTTTTTTGGCGCCCCCACAAAAAAAAAACACTTACAGTAATATAATGTATAGAATAAACTCGTAATAAGAAAAATAATGCAAATAATAATATAAAATGCTGAATCTGCATAAATACTCTAAAATATATAAGAACAGTCACTACCTAACTACACTAGCATTGGATTCGGAAAAATGTATCTGTGTCGGCGGAAAAAATCAGTTTTTAAACAATTAAAAGTTAATACATATTATAGATAAGTAGATATATTATTAAAAAAATATAGTATATAATACATTAATATAATTAATTACTATGTATACATTTTTCTTGTCTTGGATGAAGCAAAATTTATCAATTACTTCATCAAAGTCGGTCATTTTAAATTTTCACTTTCCATTTAAAATGCAGGTGGCTTAGGGGATCTTGTCTATGTTGATTGTAAATATGTCAAATTTATTTTAATTTGCTGAACGAACGTTCATAGCCAGCATTTGATAATGAAATAGTAAGGAGTATTTGAAGTGCTACTCTTTGGTTTGGAAAAACATTTTCTCCATAGATCTGTAATGGAGGTTTAGGTTCAGTTTCTTTTCTACTGCAGAATAACATCTTGCAGACATACACTGCTCAAAAGAATTACGGGACATTGCGAGTTCGGTATTAAATAAACATATAATCGACAACCTTTTTAACAAAAGGAAATAGAAAAGACTATAAAGGAAAATTATAACGTTTACTAAGTTGGGAATATGCAAATTTAGCCTGTGACGTCGGAAACTATGCGTTTTAGATAAGGCGTAAGGAGCGACTTGCAACATTCTTTTTCAGTAGGAGACTAAAAACAACTGACATGCGTTGATGCTTTGTAGCAGGGAATATACGATGTCTCAGCAAGCGACTTAGTTTTTGGTAACCAGGAAGCCTGATCGTTTACCGGATAGACCTCCCCAACCCTCTCCCTAATTGTAGCGGAGCGTTACGAGTTTCCCAAAATATGATTTCCAGACTTGGAATAGGTTTTTTTAGAAACTGGATAAGTTTGAGGAACCGGGAACAAGGTCGTGTTATCGTTTTTTAAAATAAAAAAACGGGAGTTATACGTACATTTTCGTTTAAAAAAATAAAAAATATCTCTGTTTTAGAGAAAAAAGTGGTCAGAAAGAACGTTTTGTATGCGGAGATATTTGGTGATGTACTGCAAGCATTTTATTACATTTTGTCAGACAAATTAGAAAATAAGTAATTAATTATATTACAATATTATTAATTTTAAATATATTTTCCAGAAATCAATCGAAATACAAACTGAAATTTTCTGGAAAATCTTGTTTGGAGACCATTTCGCCCCCTGCGTTGTATTGAAAAGATCACCCCCATGCCCCCCCTTCGCTACGCCACTGCACTGAAGTATTTATTTCACTCACGTTTTCAATTCTTGAACTAGGATTCTCTCTATTTAAGGTACAAGACTCTTATTAGAATTAACTTTGTTTTTTCATTGCTTTGGGGAGGGGCCAGAATTTATAACTAAAATACATTGAAATGGCTCTTTGGCTAATTCTTGATGCAGAAAAGCAAAGTTTTTGTGGAAGAGAAGATTTCAATTGACTTCAATACTCCTGACGATTCTGGCATTGAAGTTGATTGAATTCCTCTTCTTTTATGTACGTGTTTCATTCAATTTCATTTATTTTTTTAATTGGGGTACAGCTTTTTTGAAAAGTGTTGGTTTTAACATTTTTTTAATTCGTTATTACATTTATACGATTATTTGAAATTGAAATTTATTACTTATGAATTTCAGTTTTTAGTCTTTGTGAAAAATTAGTTCTAAATTTCTTACTTTTGTCTTTACTGATAATTTTTCAGCACATTAATGCACGAAAATACTAGGCATGAATACATTTTGTTTTCTAAAAAAATTGTTTGGTAATTATATACATGTATCTGCGCTTTCTGAAATACACTGCTGGCCATTAAAATTGCAACATCAGGAAGGAATGAGCTGACGAACGTCAAAATCACATGAAAGGAAGAAGAGGTTGGGATATGCAAATGATTAGTATTTCAGCGTATTTAGACGACGCAGGAGGAAGAAACGACATCTGAAACACTGCATAAAAAAAAAAAAAAAAGTTGTGTAGTGGATTTCTAATTCAGAAAGCGCTTTGTGAGGTCATAGTTTGCTCAGAATATTACATTATGCCTCGAATAAGATGCTAGCCAGCAAGTGTCGGAATTCGATAGAGTCAGGATCGTTGTCTATAGAGAGTGTAGATTATCGTTCCGTGATATCGCCCGTCGCACTGGTCGACATCCAACCATTGTTATGCGAATATGAAATCAATGGTTCACTGAGGGTCATACTGAACAGCGTGCAGAATCTCAACGCCCTTCCATGACTAACGCCCGAGAAGACAGACATATTGTGAGGTCAGCCCTGCAAAACCATACAACCATATCACGGACCATTCAGAAAATGGGCATATTTGCACCACGCCCAGTATCCGCTACTACGGTGCGTCGACCTTTTCAGCAGCGTGGACTATCAGCAGGGAGACCATTATTTCGGGTTTCCTGGACAGAGTAACGTAGAGAGAGACGGCGACTCGTGTACCGAACGACAAAGCTGGATACAGGAGTGGCCCAATGTTGTCTTTTCATACGAACCCTGCTTCTGCGTGTAGTATTCTGACGACCGTATACGTGTCTGGTGGTTCCGAGGAGACCTACGTCGCCTGCTTGCATTCGATATCGGCATAGGGGTCTTACACCTGGTGTGATGGTTTGAAAAGCCATTGGGTACACGACACGCACATCACTAGTTCGAATCGACAGTAATTTGAACGTAGATCGGTACGTTTCTGACATCTTGCGTCCAGTATTTGTGCCCTACCTTCGAGGCCTGCCAAACGCGATCTTCCCACAAGATAATGCAAGACCACATGTTGCACGTCATGCTCTAACCTTCGTCGATATACAGGATATTCAACTGCTGCCCTGGCCTGCATGGTCTCCAGATCTGTCACCCACTGAAAACTGAGAGATTGGCCCGCCACCTCTCTCCAGCTCATACGGTTGATGAAGTGTGGCATAGACTTGAAACAGCATGGAATGAGTATCCTTTTTCTGTCATCCAATCCAAGTTTGACTCCATGCACAAGCGTGTAAGGGCCGTTTTAGCTAACATGTGTGGCAGCTGTTTCTACTAATTTCGTACCCCTGTAAACACCCAAACTGCTTGCAAATTTAATTATTTTGTCTTCATTTTGTCTGTTTACGTACAATAAATATCTTTCTTGTATTTGCTTTTCTTCATGGTGTTGCAATTTTAATGGACAGCAGCGTATATGTAAGATAAAAAAAATATGTAAATTGAAAGTATAGTTAAGGAAGCCTCTTAATTGCTTATTTTTAATTTGGGTACTTCCTATCTAGTATTAACTTTCTCGAAACTGCGTCATATCTGTAAACTAATTCAGCATTATGTCATCTTAAAATTCTGCAATGCCTATGAGTTTTAGCCAATCAGATTAACGAAGTATTTTACTATAAATACCGTTGCAATTTTTTCTCCCTACGCTTTCTAGTTAAAGGACGTCTCTTGCTTTTCTGCTTCTGTTAAAAATGTAGTGGATCATCATCAAAATTGCATTTCTAGGCCCATCGTCGCTGATCATTGATGCTCAATTCAAAGCGAGACTCATCGCTGAAACAATTCTGCTCTAGTGTGTGATGCAGGTCGAATACGCGCGGCTCAGCCTAGCGGTGTGCATTTGTAAACAGCAGTCGGGGTGATGGATTCCGTGACCTTAGCCCAGTTCGCTGAGTCTCCATCAATGGTCATTGCAGTCAGCAGTCATTGGTGTTCCGGGTTACACATCGGATCATTGAAAAGGGTTACACATCGGATCGCCAGGGGCTGTGAGCACTGATCTGACAATCATTCAGTTCTCTCATTCTGTCTTCGCTCTTGATCCGATTGCTACTCTGATGCTCTGCACGCTTCACCCATTGCTGCCAACGTCGCCGAATGGTAGCATCGCAATGTCTACCAACCCAAATATCTACCGATCTTACGATTTGACCACCCTGCTTCCTTTAATCCAAATGCACATTCTCTTCCAAAGGTTGCAGAGCTCATACTGTTCGCGAACCCGTCTGCGAAGCATTGGTACAGTCCGCGTAAGTCGATGAAACCAGATTCGCATGGAAGTTATTACCACAGCATTTGAATGTCCTCTGCTTTTTATACCATTTAGGTGCTTCGTTCAAATGCACTGAGGTCCAGGTAGTGAGTCATTGGCCGCGAAAAGTTAATCGTTTGTATATTCTGTCGTAAGGTGTGGGCATATGCAATTTAGTCCTATTCGGATAGCTCCTTTTTGGTGCACCGCTTTTTGTCTTATAGAATATATATATTTTACCGATTAGAAACTGGAATTAATAATTATTCATTGTTAAATTGTCCTGCTAGTCGGTTTGGCCTTAATAAAAGGTAAATCTTTAACTCTTGATTCTGTACATACATCTATATATATACAAAGAGAAAGAATGAAATTTATGAAAATTTTTTGCTTGCTCGCTTTGTGAGATTCGTTATTTCAATTAAAGCAAAATATTTCGAATTGATCGTATTAATTTCTTCTCATACACTTGGACATAAATCAGATAGAATTATGAAGTATTGTTTAATTTATACGGAAATTATTATCAGAGATTATTATTAGAAAATCTTTTAAATTCCTCCTTTTATGTCTGCTATGTTCCCAACTATTTAATAGAAAGGAAATGCATAAATATTTATCAATAACAGAAAAAAAGCACAAAGAACTGAATTTCAGTTTTCGGTAATTTTTCCCGAAGTACTAAATGCACATAAAATATAACCAGGAAAATTCAGTGAAATAATTAGTTTTATAGAATTAGTACATAACAGCTGAAAATGTGTCTATCGTTTTATCAAATTTAAATGGACCAATTTTTTTTTTTTTTTTTTTTTTTTTTTTTTTTTGTAGACAATGAAGATCAGGATGAAACTTTACTCAGAGTGATCCGTTCTTGTTTCTGGCCGATGTTTCTCACTACGATACTTGAAGCTATTGCTCAAATCTGCAAATTTTTTAACGTCAAGATAGCAATCTACGTGTCCATTTTCGCCGTAACTTTCCTGAGAGCATTTTTCCTTTCTATCGGAACCGCATATCTTCGAATAAGGTAAGTTTTTAATTCATTTTTATTTTATCGCTCTTTCGAATAAATTTTTCTTACACAGAACAATATTGTTTCGTTCTACGGGTTCCTGGATTTGGATGATGACATTTCATCAAGAATCAAATGACATTTCATCAAATGAATTGATGAATTTTCAAATGAATTGATGATGACATTTCATCAAGAATCAAAACACAATTTATTCGCCAGCATTGCACAAGATAGCTCCAAAGACACTTTTACAGTCGTCGAAAAACTACGATGAACACGCTTCAACAATCAGCAACACAGTCTTCAGGTTATAACCGTAAAAATAGCTTCACGGCAAAGCACTAAAGTACAGCTCCCGACTCGTTCGATCATTCTCAAGATAATCTTTGACCTCCAGACACTACTGCTCTACTATCGAACTCAAGGTATAACTATCTCCATATACAGGCAGGGTATATATAGCTTTAGAACATCTTCGAGAACATTCCCGAGAAAAACCTCTAAGAATGCGTTCTAGAATGTTTTCGCTCCATCTATGGCATACCACCAATTTTGTCACCAAATGAACGATTTCGTGCCAAATCTGGCAATTCTGCCTTTCTCTGCCTCGCATTTTGAATGAACGCTACATATTTGAAATTCTTTGACAGGCTAACTGATTTATTAATCCAACGGCACAGTTCATCACGGAAAAAAAGAGCATCAGAAATATTTCAAGTAGATATGTAAAATTCTTAATTGTTACTATAGTTTAGAGGGGGAAAGTGTTTATTGCACTTGTCATCTGCCTATAAATTACTTTTCTCTATCTACAGAAGAGAAAGAAATCGAAAGTAAATTAGGAACTACAATAACTAAGAATTTGTCTTTGATTCTAAGAACAGATGTTTTCAAATATCATACCTAATTCCTCTTTCTGGAACAAAAGCTCTAAACGTACTGTCGATTTTCAGTTCTCTATTTTAGGAATATTCTATTTAAAAAAAATTAAAATAGTTTTGGAACAATGAATACCAGGCTATAGAATGAATCTATATTTAACATCATTCTTGACAGTTTTCGGAAGATACGATTTGTCATGTATCCTTTAGTGGGTAATTATTTCACAAGGTACACTCATTTAAACTACATGCCACTTTTATTATATATACAAAATATATCATCACTCGCATATACACTTATATCTACAGCTATCTCCTAATTACAGCTACTCGCATTCCAGTCATTTTCTAATTACTGCGCGCGCTTCGATGCTTGGCGCTGTGCCAGCTTTTAGTCCGATTATGATATGCACATCGATAGTTCTCGATATACCACATCCCTTCCCCTTTATCATAACTGCAGTCTATCTGAGGGACGTCGAATTCTACTGGACCGACGCAAAGGTTGTGGCACTGCTGGTTTATTTGGTAACCTGGCTATATCAGCAACAGGTCCCAGTGGATGAAACCTCTCGTACAACCTTGTACTCGGAGAACGACACAGACTCATCTGCCTGGTGGCTATTTATTATCTTTGGATGGTTCTCTTTTTAAACTCTTTGGAAATCACGAGAGCTGGAGGTGGACGTACGAACCCCTCATCTGTTATGGTTCCTCCATCACGCATCTGACGATCTACATTTATGGTGTAATGAAGCTGCCCATCCTTGGATTGGAATTTCCAAATCTCCATCGTCTATCACCTTGGCGATAATTTCTTACTGCCACTCTATCTCCTACTCTAAATCCTCGGTCTGCAAACTCGTAGGTTCCTTTTCGAACTCTGTCTTCCACCCTCCTTTTGAGATCTGGTCTCAATAAATATATTCTTGTTCGAATTTCCCTCTTCTGCATTAGCATTGCAGGGCTCTGCAGAGTAGTTAAATTCGGAGCTTTTCTATATTGCATCAAAAATATACTGAATTTTTGTCTCAAAGTTCCTGGATAATTTTGCACTGTTCTTAAAGATTGTTTTACTGTAAGCACATACCATTCAGCCTGCTCATTACTAGATGGTTTAAACGGTGCTGTAGTTTTGTGTTTGATTCCGTTACTCTGTAGAAATGTCTTAAACTCATGTGAAGTAAACTGTGGCCCGTTATCACTCACCCAAATAACAATATTGGTAATCCGAATAGTGCAAAAATGTCCCGTAAGCATTCTATTGTTTTGAAAGTCGAGCTTGATTTCATTGGATAGGCTTCTAGCCATTTTGAGTGAGCATCGACTATTATCAAAAACATATGATCAAAAATAGTGGGTTCGAATCCCATCCTCGTCGCCAGCTATCGTGTATCCTTTAGTAGGTAATTACTTCACATGATACACTCATTTAAACTAATACATGCTACTTTTATTATATATACAAAATAGTATATCATCACTCGCATATAGTACACTTATATCTACAAATATTTCCTAATTACAGCTACTCGCATTCCAGTCATTTTCTAATTACTGCGCGTGCTTCGAAGCTTGGCGCTGTGCCAGCTTTTAGTCCGATTATGATATACACATCGATAGTTCTCGATATACCACACGATTATCAATAAAATTCTATTTATGCCATGAAGAGAACGAAGGAATATTTTCCGATACAAGTACCTTTTATACATTTTAAATGCATACAAATATTTAAATACGTATTAGGCTTAGATGATGCTTACATTTTTAATTGATTTGCTAGTTTTATCTACAAATTGTTATAATAGCATACTGAAACAAAAACTTCCGGGGGGTGTCATCAACATCAGCTCACAGTTCTGGAGATTTTTATTATATACATTACAAATATTCCATACTCATACTACAAAAAATATTCTTAGCAATATATAAATAAATATTACATATGAATTATGTATGCAAATTTAACTAGCGATTTTCTAATAAATGAATCGATATTTTTATCTTTAAAAATTTACATTTAAACTAAATAAAAAGGTCCATGGACTCCCCATCAATCTTTGTGAATTTCTAGCAATGTTTCCCCTCTGAAATATATGTAGTGCTCATATAAAAGTCTTTGTTTATGTAATTTGACTTTATTTGAATGCTAAGCTTGAGAATTTTGATAACAATTTATACAACTGTCTTTCTATCAAAAATTTGACCCTGGTTATTTAGTAGATGATATCAAATTATCTAAATCCAGCAACATGCCCATACCAAATAATGTGTCCACAATATATTTTTATTCTGTTAACCAATATTGCAAAGTCATTAGATTCGCATGCTGGAGGGGAGGGAGAAAATAGCATACATACTCCCCTTTTCAAAGGATGATTGGGGGTTAGGGGACCCAATCGCCAAATCCTGGTGACGTCGACCCACCACTTTTAAATTCGAGCGCCACAGTACAGTCATTAGGTTTTTTTTTTAAACAGAACACATGAAAAATGAGCAATGCCCTCACCGGAATTCGAACCTGGACTTCTCGAATACGCGCCCAGTGTGTTACCGTTACACCACGAAAGCATACTGGAAGGAGAGAAAAAATACCTTATACCTACCACTTCAAAATAACACAACCGGGACGCATCAAAGATAATAACTATTAATCTATTATTTACAATAACTTGCAAAACAAATTACAGTGTTATACCCTAACAAGAAAAGGTTTTAGTTAACGCTACTGGGGAGTAATAGCTGGAAGTAAGTAACAAGTGGTAATGATAATACTCACGAAACAAATAACTAATATAATACAGCGGAAGTTCGCCATATCTTAAGATTTTATTTGGTTTGATGTAGGCCTCGGCAACGTATGACACAGGGTCAAAGCGTGACATATCTCATAATTCCAAGTTAACCCATCTGAGTCCCGAAAATAAAGTATCGTATATGGAAATACATTATACAACATAAATATGAAACAGACAATTGACAAATACATAAAAAATAAACTGAAAATAAATATAACGACAATGACATTTTTCTTTGATTACAAAATTACAGTAAGGAGTATACATTTCTATTGTTAAAGAGTAAATAACTGTAATATACACTAGTGTGCAAAAATTAAGGACGAGACGGTTTTTTCAATATAACTTTGTACAAAAGCTTTCCAAATCAATACATTTAATACCGTAAGATCCCCAATACGTAAGGACATGAGTAATGTAAGCAACACTTACTAAAAGAGAAATCAGAGGGATAAAAAGAAGCTTTATTGAAAAAGTAGCATGGAGCGCAATGCGACTGAAGGCCGAAACATTCCCTGTGATGGGTGTCCAGCAGAAACATCCGGTCTTTAATAGGGGATATAATCTTCCCTGACTGCTAGGCAGGTTTCACAGCGTCTGCCCATGCTGAGAATGAGGGTGTCAATGAGTTGTTGAGGCTTTGCTGCCCATTCGTCTTGCAGCGCCAATCGAAGCTCCGGAATCGTTACTGGTGGTAAGATACGAGCTGCCAAGCGTCTACCTAGAAAATCCCATACATGCTCGATGGGATTGAGATCCGGAGATCGTGCCGGCCAATCCATACGTTCAATATCCTCACTCTCTAAGAGCTGTTCGGCAGCTACTGTGCGATGACATGGTGCATTGTCGTCCATGAAAAAGGAACTGCGGACAAATAGCGCCTCTAAAAAGACGCACATATGGAACAAGAATCTCGTTACACGGGTCTCGTTGACTGAACCTGCGTCGAAGATGTGAAGGTCTGTACGACTACCAAGCATGATGCCTCCCCAAACGAGAACACCGCCACCTCCATACCTGTCCCTTTCAATGATGTTCGAGGGATGATTGCGGCTTCCCCGCTCTCTCCAGATGAGTATGCGATGAGAATCGCTTACTCAGACTGAATCTGCTCTCATCTGTAAAGAGTACTCGTCCCCATTCATTGTCTCTCCAATTCCGGTGTTCCCGGCACCACAGAGAACGCCTTCTCCGATGGGCAGGCGTTAGAGGTACACACCGTACAGGGCGTCGTGCAAACAGACCACCACCGTGCAGTCTTCTGGCCACGGTAAAACGCGATATCTGTCGTCCAGTCGCCTGTGTCGTGTGTCTAGCGATTTCTCCCGCTGTCTGCCGTCTGTTATTTCTGGCCTGTAAGGCAATATACCGGTCATCTGCGGGTGTGGTTCCTCGTGGACGACCACTACTAAACCCCGGATAGCTGTTGCTGTAGTTTGAAATTGTCTCCAAAGTCGTGAAACGATGCTGTGAGCAATTCCGAACTCTGCAGCCACACTTGTCACACTGCGGCCTTCCTCCAACTTCCCAATGATTCGACCTCGGGTAAAAGCATCCAGATGTCGTCTAACAGATTGATTATTCTCCATTTCTCGCTGAGGCAACAACTCGGTGTGATTTCAACTGCTATACGGCGTGCAATCTCTTTGCCAGAAATACTGATCTTACACCGACAACATGCTTTATACTACTTAGACACTCCCCCATTACGTCTACCTACATATCTGCGCATGTGCTACCGTACATCACCTTACTTATTCTCCTAATTGGTCTTTCTGTTCGCTCTGCCTCTTCGTTCAGCTGATATGCTAATTTTTCGACTTCGTCCTTAATTTTTGCACACCAGTGTAACTTCAAGGAGAAATCGATAAGATTGGCAATCCATAATTCCACGGCCTTCCCATTTTGTCTGTGTTTGGGTCAACTTACAAATGCGAGTAAATATTTTCACACATGACATCTATTTTAAATAAGGACATCAGCAGCTTAGCTATCGAAAATTCAGATGTTTGTATTCGTTTTAATAACAATAAGCCAGACTTGACTAAATTGACGCAACAAGCTCAGCATCAGAGGAGCCACTGACATCGAAGAGAAAAATAAAGTTCATTCAGCTATGTTTGTTTTTATAATAATTAGAATTTTAATTATAATTTTTATGCTTAAAGCGTATTGCAATTATTTGCTCAATAGAATTTATTTTGTTATTCACCTTCCCCCCCCCCAAAAAAAAGACAATTCTAAAATGAAATTATCACTGACCAGAAACGTCTTCTTAACATGCAAATTTTGGTTGATTTTGACCCTCAGCAAACAAAGGTTGCCGATTCTTTGTCTAATGGATTGCGCTGTGGTGGAAAATTTAAATTCGTTTCCTCAAGATTCCAGCTTTAATCAACACAAATTCATCTATCTCCCTTCCAAGTAGAAACTCTTTTTTCAAGAACTTTGGATAGTTTAAGAATAAAAGATTTTTCACTCAAACCATACGAGACTTGTCACTCCAAAATCAACTTTTGCGCTCTTTTATAGAATGGTTTTGATTTAATTTTTTTTTTTTTTTTCTCGTTCAAGCCAGAATTATCAAACAATTTAAACTGTATCATATGATGATTTTTATTTGAAATCGGCCTCACATAAATGATAAACTTCTGTCTTTACCAGTGAAAATTAAAGTTTTAATAAAACTTAAAGAATCATTAAAATCTCGGATTCCCAAAGGATTTGATCATATAATAATTCCTGCTTTTGTACAAAATAAAGAGAATTTTTTTTGGCCTTATTTGAACTTTTTTTTAATTTTGGACTTGAAAAAAAATGTCAAAAATACTTGATTTTTTAATTATTTTGATTTTTTTTTTTTTTATGTATTTCATGTCTATTTTTATTAAAATTAATGAAAATTTTGCATAGATTTTTGAAAAAAAAAAAAAAAAAAAGGATAAAATGAGAAATAAAAGGGCAAACGCATGAAAATATGGAAAATGTTATATGTTTTTAATTCAAAAATTGTTTAAAATAGGCAGCCTATGTCTGAAACTATGGGATAGACAGGCTGCTCACAGGAACTAACTTTGCTTTGGTTCAAACTTGTTCTCAAATATGCGACTCGTGTATCAGATATGGTTATCTAAATACAGTAGAACCATATTAGAATTCGAATAACTGGGGGTCTACGTACACTTTATTTAATTATTGTATGTTGGAAACGGGAGAAAAACCTATAACTATCTTTAAAGAAAAAGAAGTAAATGAAATTTTAATTAAAATGAAAAGGCAACACTTTTACGTACAAGTGCTGAAAGTCATTGCTTACTGAACATTTCGGTCAAAGTAGACTGACTGTCTTCGTCCGTTTTCGGACAGCTTAGTCGTGCATCCGCTTGACAATGAGAAGTTGCATGTGTCACACTCGGGCTGACGCTCCATCCATTTCCACGCTGCGTCAAGGCCGGCAAACACTTCACTGGCTGGTCCCGTGTCTGGTCGACCTTCGAAGGTTACCTTCTTCTTTGACACTTTCTTCTCTCACACTTTCATCATCATTTATAATTTGAAACTCAGAGTCTGACGAATCACACACTATTCATTCTGCTGTATATTCAGCACTAACTTCTGAACATCCAGGAATTCTCGAAAGAATGTTTCTTAATTCCTCAAGTGACAGTCATCCTCATCTTTTCTTGTCTCTCCCCTCTCCCTTTTTCTTAAATTTTCTCTTTTCTTATTTTCTTAAACGATTCGGATGATCAGCAATTCGAATAATTGGAGTTGTACTGTACTGAAGAACAGTTAAGAAACTTACGCATGTTGTAAATTACGGCTAATTAAAACAGTAATTTACAACTTGTGATACATGTATCCGTATGGATGCTGTTGCGATGTAATGCGAATTAACTCGATACACGTCCTCGTTTTAAACACAAAACTTATATTAATTAATTGCACAATACAAGTATAAACAAGAAAATGACATATAAAACTTATAATACGAGAACAGAACAAAAATAGTGAAGAATAGACAGCATTCCAGCTGCCTTACGAATGTGTTCGTCTGAGCCTGACTGTTCAACTCAATTCAATGTTCATTGGCATAGTTCCAAAAACGAAAGAGTCAGGTTGAGTTGTTTTGTTCCGGCGCACCAGAGTGAATCCAGATACTTAGTTAAGTACGACATTTCGAAAAGAATGTTTCGATAAGAGTAGAAAAAAATGTAAACCCTCAGTTAAGAAAAAAAAAAAAAAAAAAAAAAAAAAAAAAAAAAAAACTATTATATGGAATATTTTAAATATGAATTTTCTTAAAGAGGCCATAACTGACTGGCCTAAGTCTCTGTGGCTAATCTGAAAGCGAGCATCGTTCAATAGCAGCTTGAAACTTTCTTGACTGTTTGACTACTGCTATTGCAACCTTCATTAATACACTACCGAAACATAAGAATTGTCTAGAAAGAATATTATCTAAAAAACTACTTCGGTGAGAGATAATGTGGGGCAACTCAGATCTTTTTATCTCTCCCAAGTGGACCAAGCCCATTGTCAAAATCTCTCTGCAATTGAACTGCATTCTTTCAAACAATATTACAACTTCTAGACCAAGTGCAACAACTGTATTACAGCTTCTAAACCAAGACAAATTATGTAGCTAAAATTTTTGCCTTTCTATCTTAAGAAGCACACATGCTTAGAATATCGGTAATAATGGTGATATTACAATTACGATAATATAATGCTGTAAAAATAATAGATCCTGCTTGCCATTCAGTTGATAGGGAACTTTCCCTTGATATCAAGAGTGAGAAAGTGTCTAGTATTAATTAAGGAAATGAAAATTAAATATTTGAGCAATATATCACAAATTTTATGATCTTGTTCCTGCAAGGATAATAAATGAAGAGGGTATTTAAACTTTAGTACAGCTGCAAACTTTCCTGACGCATAATAATAAGAAAATAATTTAATATATTGCCTTAGAAAGAAATTTTGCACGCCGTGGGTACAGTTCATTAATTTTCCAAGCTCATAATGGTACATAACGAGCTTTTGAAACACGCCGAGTTAAAAATAATTTGCTTATTCAATGAGAAAGCAAGCTATAACTGAGATTTTTTTTTTTTTTGAAAGCATTAACTTTGTTTTAAAAGCATTTAAGCTCTAGTATAAGCAAATGTAAATATATTTAGGCGTAATACAATACAGCAATAATCTGTAGCAATACTCTACAGCAATAATCTGTAGAGTCATTAGGCTATTTTGCAAGCTGGACACATAAAAAATGTGCAATACTCTCTCCAGGACTCAAGCCTGGACCTCTCGAATATGCGCCGAGTGTGCTATCGTTACACCACGAAGGCATACAGAAAGGAGGGAGAAAATACCTTATATACTCCCTCTTTTAAAGGGCAACTGGCAATTAGGGGACCTAATCACTAAATCTTGGTGGTGAAGAATCATCATCCACCACCTTTTAGTTCGGGCGCCACTATAGAGTCATTTGGAAGCAGGAGATGTGAAGAATGGGCAGTGCCTACACCGGGACTCAAACTTGGACTTCTCGAATACACGCCGAGTGTGCTACCGGTACACCACGAAGGCTGCAGAAAGGAGGGAGAAAATGCCTTATAAAGTATTTATTCGATATAATCTTTAAAAATGCTTACATTATACTAAACAGTAATTAACAAATTATGCTTCTATTTTTTAGCTATTTACACTAAATTATGATTGATTTTATTCCTTTGCTTGTTTGCCAAAAATTAGACATAAATCGTTTATCTCATGATACACCTATTTTTCGAGGTTTCATTACGTGATATAAAGCTACATTAAAATGAGGTAATAAGTAAAAAAGCAATACAAGATGTACATGATTTTTATAGCATATGTATTATCCTATTTCTATTATGAACACCTTTCTTTTGCAGGTTTCCAGCAGAACATTTCAATAAGCTGCTAGGTATCATGAGTACTATATCTGCCGTTGTTAGTCTGCTTCAATTCCCTCTCTTCTTGTGGGAATCCTCATCTCCTGCTAGTGTGCTGAGTGTAAGAAATATAATTTCTCTCTTCCTGTATCAAATAAGTAATTATTTCACTTACACGGCCTCCTTATTTTCTTAAAGGAGGATTCTTCTCTCGACAGAATCTAATTCTCGATTTTTTTTTTTTTTTACTCTGAACCCCCGACTAAGCGTACTAATACTTGCTATCTTCATTTATGTTTTTTGAAAACTTTAATGTTAAACGTATTTCTACAAAGCCTGATCATAAATCAGCTTTGTCCTAATGCCTGACATAAATTAGTATTAGGTTTTAATTTAATTCGAAGCCTTAAAATTAAGATTTGCAGAACCAAAATTGTGAATTTCTTCCCCAACCTAACAAGTTATCAAGCTCTTCAATCATCAGTTTCTCAAAATAACTTTCTGTGTTAGGACAAGGGGACACTACATAGATTATCAGAAGTATAAATACACCATTATATTGCAAAACGTACTTTCATGGAAATGAAGGTTTTTAAAACAGACTGGAACTTCATGATTTTTTACACTAGACTTAAAGTATTATGACTTAAATTTTTATAATCAAAATGGTAACCGATTTTTAATCTATACTTGTGCATATTTAATACAAATATAGCCAATAGGTTGTGCTAATGGGAAAATATATTTATTTTTAATATTTCTATTGAGAAATAGAAAAATAATCACTGTGAAACGTAGCGGTGGTACTAAAATTTTTCAACTTTTGTTCAGATGGTACGCGTTAGTCAAAAGGTTGAGAACCGCTGCTTTAGACTCATAATACGATATCCGTCCAATTCAATTAAGTACAAAAAGTTTTCGTTTTAAATTACTGCAAATAATATTACAAGTTGGCTATGTTCGAATATCAAAGCCTGCAGCTGTTTTCTTGAACACGAATTCTGCAAGATTCAATGAATAAGATCTCCATACTGGGGGAAAAATAATAATAATTTACACTTCTCACGATATTCTGTACAGAAACGCTCATCATTTAATCTCTTAACATGAGGAATATTTTTATAAACTGATATTTTATTTTTAGTTACGTACAAACGCAAATATTTCGCTTTTCAGTTTGCCTACGGCCCCTGAATATGATATTCGAGTTCAAAATCAAATATCTCTGCCAATTTTTGTCGTACTGGTGTTAAACGTTTTGTGTCTCATTTTTTAGAAAAGAATATAAAATTTCCCTAAATATAGTATAGGGATCGGAGGAACATGTAAAAAGTTAAGATTTCGTAATTTTTAGAAAATTTTTTCTTTAAAAATGCCCAAACAAGAATTTTTGCGTCATTTAAAACATTTTTTACAACTGAAAGTATATTTTTCTAACTGAAAGTACCAATTGTTGTGAAAATAAAGCTCGATAATGACTTTTAAGGACACAGTATATATTGGCAATATTTAGAATACATCATGAGTGTAATTAATGAGATATATCTGATGCCATTCGATAATCGTAAAATGCTTTTTCTTACAGGTTAATATCTTCGATAGTGTTTGCTCAGCTGTGGCCTTTATTCATCCTTTGCTACTTGTTGTGATACCCGTTCAGAAATACTTCCTTAGAGATAAAATGAAGAAAACGACAGATTCTAGTAGCTGAGATAAACTGCACTAAGTATGCGAAATCTAAGACTGGCTTTCACTTGTAGGCATATTCTTGTCAGCAGCTATTCATATAATTTTTCTGAAAATGGATTTGCTATTAAGAAGAACTGAGGATACATTTTATTATTTTCTACTTAAATACTGAGACGCAGTGACGTCATTATACCGGGAACATGGACCTTATAAGAAATAGACTAACCCAGTGGGCGGGGCGCGCGTCACCGACATGTCGGCAAGAAAGAGTAGGGTTTACTTTAACATTGAAAACCTATGGCGTTTGTATCATATAACTCTTTTTAATTATTAAATGTGATACGTTATATAGTGATGAGATTATGAAAGCCACAGTTTTTTCCAAATAGGATTTAATATATCTCATTAAAGCATTTTTTACTGCATTTCGCGCATTTTTTTCATGCTTAATTCTTGTACAAACATCTTTACTTTGGTAAAACGGTAAAAACTCTAAGCACAAAATTTATGAACTTAATTTTGCGTAAAAATAAAGTAAAATTAAATAAGATTGATAGTACGCGATGCTTTGAAATAAATAAGGTAAAATTAAACAAGATCTGATATTTTTCTTTTAATTTAATGAACATTTTCAGGCAGTGATTTTCCAAACTATAACATTACAAAACGATCATATTTATTTGATTGTGTGATCATTAAATTATTAACATTAAAATGGATTAGTTATTTTAATAATTAATAAAATTCGGAGCATAAAATTTTCTGAGCGTAATGAAGGAAAAAAAAAAAGATAAAGTAAAATCCAGAAGCACTCAGATTTTATATTACGCCCAAAAGGAACTTTTTTTTAAAGTTTTGTGTGTTACCTATATTTATTGAATATCAGAATATCATGTTCTTCGCCCGTAAACCACATACATTTGAAAACAGCATATCTTCAGAATTTCCGCACTGGAGATAAAACTGTTATTTCCCGTACAGTGCTCGCTCTGAACTCGTTGAGTTTGTTAATCAAAAATTCGTTAAAGTTAAAATATGAAATAGATTAAAAAAAATCGAAATTCGGCCATCCAGATGCCCATGTTCGGATTACATTATTTAAAATTTGATGGCTCTAAACACTGTCGTTTTTGTCACAGTGCGAGAAACATACATGTAATCTTGCAGCTTCTTTATTATTTAATTTCTTTACATATAATACCGGGCGATAATATTTGGTAACAACAATTTGCGAGGAGACACAGATATTTATAGTAAAACAACGCAAAATGCCGCTTCGAAACTAACAGCCTTTCTAGGCCCCTTTGGGCTAATAAATTAAATTAACAGTAAATAAAAAAAAATCTTATGCAGAACTAAAAATAAATTAAAAAAAATAATCACTATAAAATACAAGCAAAATGAACTATTACGGTTAAATACAATTTTAATATTAGAATTAAATGTATAAAAATTTTTAAGGAGTCAAAAGTGTCACTATGATATATATTATGAAATATAATTGAAATAAAATTCCAATAGCTTTATAATTATTTGGAACGCTACAACCAGCTTTTTCTTGACAATTATACACGCTGCAATAGGCAACCAATGTTAAATTTTTGCAAGTCGTCCCTACTCCTCCGGATGTGATCAAGGTGACAGCCGGCAACGCCTCAGACGAGGGAGAAAAGCCGTTTGGGTTAGTCTATTTCTTATAAGGTCCATGACCGGGAAGCTACTGTTTTAATGCTCGAAAAATACCATAAGTGCTTTTTCTGAACGAAGACAAATTTCCATAATTTTGATACAAGTAATTTTCCATTTCGTTTATGTAAATTTATAACACAGTACTCCTTTTTTATAACATGATATGCGGCCAAAATTAAATCACAGTTATAAGACCAATCATGCTAAACCGAAAGTTTATTAATGAAAAACTTTAAAAATATTTACACTGAAGGAAACAAAATATGTGAAGTTCGGGAAACACATTTTATGCAGTTGCAATTTTGTAAATAAAAATTATTCAAAAATATTTGGTTTATTTGATTATGACAAAGCAAGCGAGGGCTATTTCGCCTAAGAGTAAAGGTGACTTCCTAAGGAAAACTGGCTTGTATCTACGTCATACAAAGAGCAAGCCACGAAAACGCCTATGCTGCCAACTCGTTCGACTGGAATTGAACCTCAGTCAAGTATATGTGATTGCATCTAATAACAAAATTTTAGAACTGAACCTATAAAAAGTCGATATCCAAAGAAAAAAAACTCGATAAGTGTGCTTTCTACAAACGCTACTTCTGATGCTACACATCTCGGCACATTTGCACAGCTTTCAGAGTTCTCTGAAGTACTGACAAATAGTGGCCTTTAAAATAAGATTTCACGTATATAAACAGAAATATATCTGTAGGTGCCAAATCTGGCCAATAAGTGGGATGATGAAGAAGAGTTAAACTTTATTTGCAATAAGTTACTTGGTGGTGATTGCATAATATATATACAATATTTCTATTAGTAATCACTGAATCCATAATGGCACGTATTGCTTGCATAAAATCAAACACAATTATTTACCACCTTCACTCACATTAAGTTGAAAAAAATCTAGTCCTAAAATTTTGTACATACACTGCATATTTGTTAATTAAAATCAGATATGCATTTATAAACATATTTATTTACTTAGTATGCATGTGACATATGTATGTTTTATAAAATTAATATTAGTTTATATTGTTTTATTTATAAAATTAAATATTAATTTTATAAATATATTATATGTAACATAATTTTATAAACATATTTTATGAATAATAGTTTAATATTATTTATAAAATCATCATATTATGGTTATATGAGTGTAATTTATTATTGATCATTAAATTAATTATTCCTTAAAATCATTTCCAAATTATCAGCTGCTGTAAGTAAAACTTTAAATTTATATTTACGGCTGTAAGTAAAACTTTAAATATAACTGATCATTTTAAAATTAATTTATATTACATAAATTAAAAAAATTATGCTTTGTATTTTCCCGTAAATTAAATTTTTAATTGCACATAAGTGTGCACAGGGACAGATTTTGCAGCACTTAAAAACACAATATTTTATTGATAATGCTTTACGGTGCTACAAAAAGATTACTAAAATGCTTTTGGCTTCATGATATATCGTGAATAACAGTAAAGGGTACGTAGAAAAAGATATCCATGCAATATAGCCAAAATTTAACTGAAAAATCTAAGAATTTATCAATATTAATAAAAAATATAATGTACACTTATCACTTCATACACTGTATTATTAAAATAATTTAAAATTCCTTGTCCAAATTTTTTCTTTTCTCGTTAATGGATAAGATGTCACAGCTTTTTGATTTGGATTGGTTTATTTAATTAAGGCAAAGCACTCGAGGACTATCTGCTTAAAGGGAGATATAGCCTTCATGGAGGACTTTCTACGGGAAACTAGCTTGTACACACATTACACATGGGAAAGAACACGAAAACGGCGATGCAACCAGCCCGTTCGCCGGAACAAATTACTGCTGTTCGGCAATTTTAAACTGCTCAGCCCACCACAGCTTTTCGAATCACTGGAGGTATTACTATTTTCATATTTATAAGCCACTGTAACATAAATAAAAAAATTCCAGAGTATGAAAGCTACGATAGAATTTCTCCAATGTAAATACAGAGGTTGTTAAAAAGTAGAGCTGACAAACTTTAACGAGAAAAATCTATATGTGTGGGTATGGGGAAGTCAGATATTCTGACCACTGATAACAAGTGTTTCCTTTTGTCATTTTTCTAGCCCTCTTGAGGAAAATTTCAGTAAGGAAAAACACACATATGAGGAGCGACCTGTAACCCGAGAACATAATGAGGGTCCGAAGACAACTATTTCCCCTCCCATTTAGTTACACCAGTTAGGAAAGTATACAGACAGGCATATAGTCATCATTACTGGAGAAATGCAGTGCTTGTTTCAGTGGCTATATTTCGCATTTGCCCACATACTGTGTATCACTTGGCGTACATTTTGAAACTTCAGTGCACTTGGTTGTGAAATGTGCATATAGCAATATATTAAATAATGTTATAAAAAGGAGTACTGTGTTAACAGCTGCTTAAAGAAAGCACTGACAAAGTAATTATATTGTCACTGTGTGTGCATTTATATTATCTACACTGTTGTTTGGCTATTACATACAAAATACTCATCTAATCTAGTTAATTTTAATCATCTGAAACTAACACAAGAAAGTGCTGTTAACTGTAAGAAAATTCCAGTCAATTTTGACACAATTTCAGAAGCTGCATGCATTTTCCTTTCTGTAAATTAAACAAAAGACAGAAACCCTCAGTTTCTAAATAAGGTGATACTACAATTTGATCATGTAGTATTTGAATCACCATTTATATCTGCTTAGCAAGATCAACCAAATCTTTCAAGTGATCATCAACTGGTGACAGGTGCCATAAGAATAAATTTCATATTGTGGTGATAGGAGTGTAATTTATACAAGTAAGAACTATGTTAGGTTTGGAACTTAATGGTTGACCATTAAATTATTATCACTATTTTTACTGCAGAACTGTTTATTGCCATGTTGCCTAATGCAGGCTGGATGTAAGATTTTTATTAAATATAATTTAAATTTTAATAACAGTTTTATTCATTTCTATTTGTATCCAGCTTTATTAAGCATGGCTAGGTATTGCCTGCAGATCATTACATGTTTCTAAGAAGGATGCACTGATGAGCTTATTGTAAATTAGTCTTGCATCTGTATGTTCACTTTTTATGAACATACGAATGCAAGACTAATTCAGTTAATTCATTTTGTGTCTGTTACTTCAAACGATTTATATCTCTATTGTGAATCACACAAGATCCAAAATTATAAAATAGATTATATGTGAGAAAATATCTAATACTACAGAAACAAAAAGTGTCTTGCCAAACACCTTAAAACATAATCTAAAGATAATATATGGCCTATTAACATTATGCTAAAATAAAATGGAGTAAACTCATTGACTTTAATAATAAAATATGCATTTCTTTTCTAGAAATAAAAGTGCTCTCTACTGTGAGCTAAAAATGCACTACAGTCAAAAGTCATTAATTCGGACACCCATAATCCGAAATGATCTATAATCCGGACCTCAAAGCTAAAAACTTTTTGCGCATGCACCGCGTTGACACATGCGCATAGGCGTTTATGCGTGCGCGTAAGACCTTTTACGACTGCGCAAGCGCAGAATACGTTTTCGTGTGCACGTTTTATGTATAACAGACGGTATAAGCTAAAATTATCTAATTATCTATTTCAGTTAATGTTGATGATTGCGTTGTTCCTTAATCTTTGAATTGGATCCGGCTTATTATTTTTTGCAGACTGTAAGAGCAATTTTATAAAAGTAAACTTGAACTTTCGATTATGTCAAATAGAATTTCCAATGCTGGAGCTCCCAAAGGATCTACAAAACGAAAGTATGTTTGGATGTCCATCAAACAAAAAGTGGAATTGCTGCAAAAAAATGGATAAAGACATGAAGAAGGTGACAGAGAGGTTAGTGAAAACGAAAAAATTTCGATTGACAAAGTTAGTCGGTATCCTCGGCACAGCAATTACGGGACTTGAACAGCGGAACTTTGTAACCGAACAAGAAATTATGTCTGTTTATAGAATTAAAGAGAAAGTATTATCACATAAAACGAAGCAACTTAAACAACTTACATTGAAAGAAATGTTTAATAAAGTAAACAAATAAATATTAAGCTTTTTTTTTTTTTTTTTTTTGTAAATTTTGATACCCTTTAGATTATAATTGTTCTTTATTTCATAAATTACAGTTTCATATTTTTAATTTTAGAATTTCTGCATGCCATCTTACTAGATTTAAACTGATGATCTATAATCCAGAATTGCCTAAGCCCCGACGGGTCCGGATTAACGACTTTTGACTGTATTTAAATAGTGAATAAGATAAATAAATGCTTATAAATAAAAAAATTTAAAAAAAGGAAGGATGTCTGTAGTGCCATTCATTCAGCAAAAGTTAGAAAAATTTACTTTTTTGCCCTGCCCTTTTAATTTAAAAATTACATTATACACTTTAACCTAATATTTGATAACTAAATTTTCTCTATGGCTTCCCAGCAATCCTTATATACTATAAAAGTCTCATTCAAGCTATTTAGTAGACTCAATAACATTTCTTCTCATAATGCAATTAATCACTCACTAGCAACATTTTAACTGACAGAGCACAAAAGCACTTTAACCACTTGCACTACGATTTAGCTTCACGGTTGCGGTGCCGTGCGCTACACTATAACAAGCGGTAAAGTGTCTCATTTACGCTGCTCTACGTCTGAAATCCAGAGCTGTAACTTGAGAAATAAACAATCTCATTTTTAGGCGATTTGTGCACCACGTTATTTTCATTTTAGCGATAAATGCCTATCGACGTGGTGTTCACGTCGCTCGCAGTTTGAGACAAAAACATCTCGACGTGCATGGCACTTCTTTTTAGCGCAAGTGGTTAAAGCAAGAATTCTAGAATTTTTAATTCTTCCATAATAAAACTGCACAATAAATATGCCTTAATAAAGTTCCCCTCCATCAGACTCATTTTATTTTCCAAAATAATTACTACAAAAAAATAAAACTCTCAGTTCACTATTTGCCGATTCTAAGAATAAACTCAGACCAACTTTGTTACCCATTAAAATTGCCACACCATGAAGGAAAACAGTAAGTAGAATCATACTTATTTTACAAATAGATAATGAAAGAATGAAATGATTAAAAATTTGGGTAATTCTAAAGTTCGAAATGGGTAATTCTGAAGTTTCATGCAGAAATCACTATCCCTAGCATCTGTCTCTGGCAATAACAGCAGCTTTTATATGGTTAGGCATGGAAGACAAACAAAATTTGAATGGTATTTCGAGATATTGCAGTCATGATGCTTTAATTATATACCAAGTTTCATCTGTTTGCTAGTATGAGTTATTATGCTGTTCTCTCTCCAACCATTCATTAGATGTTAATTGGAGATCTGAAGAATGTCTTGGTCAAAGCTGGAATCAAGTGTCCTGTGTAGTGAGGAAACATATAATAGCATGGCATCATGTGGTCTCATACTATTTTAATTGGGCAATGAGCAATGAAGGATGGCACAACTACAACCCAATGATGTAATGGTGAAAGGTGAAAATATGTAACATACAGACTAGAGATGAATGGTTATATGCATTTAATGGCACCCCATACTATCAATCCAGGTACAGGGCTCATATGATGCCCAAAGACCAAGAATTATTTATTTTGGTGTGCCTTTGGTTAGGACTAATTACCTCCACAAAGTGAAGTCATATAAAAACAAGGTAAAAGCACACATTAAAATAAAGTACACAATCTTCAAAACAGATTACATTAGATAATAAAAGCCAGTCTTCAAATAATAAAATAAATTACAATTGACCTTTCTTCGATAGACACACAAACATTACAATTTAAACAAATAGGCTCATTTTCAGCTTTCAGAAGACAACTATGTGCCACTCTAGTGTGACCAATCCTGAAGCGAGCCAAAAGAACTTCCTCCTTTCGATTTCTATTAAAATCCCAATGCTCAATTCTAGGCTTTACACCTCTCAGCTTGTTGTCAACTTGAAAGTCCCAAAGTTGCTGCCATTTTTTTCGGATCTTTTCTTTGATGACATAACAGATATCTCTGAAAGGGATGAGGTGACTGGATGGTTTGACAGCAGATTTTGCTGTGACATTCACCATCTCATTTCTCTTTCCCGGGAACCCAGCAGTACAGGATTTCATATATACGACTCGTTAAGTTTATATGTATCTTCAGAACACCCACTATTACAGCATTCTCAGTTAGAAAGAGGAAACAATTACCTAATGGAATTTAAAACAGTTTAAAAGTTAGAGGAACAGGTATGATAAAGAATGCAGCCTCCTTGCATAGGTATGGTCATGATGATGCTATAAGCAAAAGCAGGATTCATCAGAAAATTTGACATCATGTCACTGATGCTTCAGCTAAAACAACGGTTGTATTGCTGACATTTCATGGCACAGCATTGTAAATGTGGATATTTGGTGCTGTGCAACATACTAAATTCATTTCCTACAACATATACTATAATTTAAGATTTCTAACAGTGATGAAGATAAAATGTATGTAATCTTGGATATTGGTAGGTGGGTGAGTGTGTGTGCATGGGGAGAGGGTTATTGAGATCTCACCCATTGCTTTGCATAGCCCTCCTTAATATATGAATTACAAATTAAACAAATAGGCAGTCCGAGATGCAGAATCATCAGGATTTTGGCATTTTTGGAAATTTCTGGATTTTAGATCATCAGCTTAATATCTAGTAAGATGAAATGTAGATACAATAACATTGAGGCTTCACTTGTTTAGATCAGAGAGATAAATGCTAATTCTTCTTCTGACAACTGCTCAGCAGCCTAAAAGTACGTTTATTTACTTACTCGGTATGTGGTCCAGATTTTGGACTTTATATAGCATTGCATTTAGAGTGTTGTCAAGATTTGCTATGTGGATGCTAAATGCTGTGATAAGCTAGCCTAACATACCAAATACATCATAATAAATTCAAATCAAATACATCAAAGTAAAATAAATAAACAAAAATACACTGACAAGCGATAATTACAAATCTAAACTCTTCCCCCCCCCAATTATGAGTTTTTAAATTTTAAATGCTCAAATTCTCTTATATTTTCTCTGGTTTTCCTCATACTACATTTCTTCCACAAATAGCATCGACTGTGTCAAACAATGTTTAGTACCTCAACTATTAACATTTTACACATGAATTAAAATACACAACAGGTTTATTTTATTCAGTCATATAAGAAAATTTTTTTCATTTAATGCATTATGTAATACTCTCATTTTCTTTTCCCAGTGAAAGAAAGAACTGCAGTTTGAAATGATTTTAGTATACTTCCAGGAGTTCTATACCATGATTTAAAAAAATTATGAGCAATAATTTTGTATTAGCATAATAATGCAAAATAACATCCCCAAAACCTGCACATCTTCCAAAAGTTCATTAATTTAAAAAAAGAAAAAAACTTTTAAATGCAGTTGTATTCTGGTCACAATCACATTTTAATAAAAAATTCCAGATAGAAATATCAGCTACTAAAAATGTGTAATTATACTAATAGCAAATCAAAGATTCAGTTGATAATATAGTCATCATATTTAGTAAATACTTTTTTAAAATTATATTAAGCTAATGCTTTTTCTTTTCAAGTGAGTTGAACATAATAAACAGAAATATACCAATAGTTTTTTTTTTTTTTTTTTTTTTCATAATGTGAGAAAAAGTTTTATTTAACATTCACAATAATATTACATAACTGCTTAAATCTTTCTTGAACAACTGTTGCCATTTACATTTTGACAATATTACAGTACCTAAGAAATCTGTCTGAAAAAATAAGACCAGCTCACATAAATTAGTTAAAACAACAATTTTTTGGAGTCAAGTCTCGCTAGCACATACATAAGAGCACAACTGGCAATCACAGGCTTTCTTTTTCTATAAATTTGCTCCACAAGTAAGTAACCATATCAAAAACCATCTCAACATACAGTCCTATCATGAAATAATAATAAAAAAAAAAGGCCTTTATACAAAATAACTTTTCATCATTTTTAAGATTTGCATGCGTTACACACTTAGAAATTTGACATGATTTTCGTCTCTGTCAGTGATATGTTTGAATAAAATATATGATTATTTGATTGATATAAAAATTCAATAAAACTGAACACATGTTAATATCTTTGAGTTTAATTGATTATATTGTTTGAAATATTTCTATAAACCATGAAAGCATGCATAGCTCATGACAGAACAGCCAAGCAAATTTATACAATTTATTCTGCCACTATACTGTTGCCATTTATATATGCAAAGTTTATTACTTCACTGCATGATGGCATAAAGTGAAAAATTTCTGCTTTTACGTGCATTATACCATGCTTCTATAACCAAGAACTGTGGGGAGGGGGGGGGATACTTATAAAATATTATTATTTTTGTTACTATTTAAAACCTTTTTGTTAGTTGTGGATGTAAATTATTATGTACAAAGCTAAATCATATATGGCATTAGAAACACATTTCATTAATTACAATAATGGTTCAAACTTTATAACTTATGAAAATTGTAAATCATATGTATTATATGTATGAATTATTCAAACAAAACAAAGATACAGATGATTATGAAGTATACACATTGCTTTTAAATCCCTTAGTTAAACATTAAATAGGTATAATATGAAGTTTTTGTTACATCAAACTTATAAAGAGTCAGATGGCAACACCAAGAATTAACAGTCTGCCCTGCAGTGTCGATGATAAATTAAAGATCTTATGCCTCATAGAGTGGAAACAATTGCCAGGTTACATGGATAAATACTGTGATAGTGTAATGAGCTGGCTGTGAAAAATGCTAAGCTAGAAACCTTTCTAACATCAAAATGTTTTATAATGATTCCAAAACAATTAGCAACTCTGCAATATACCTATCACCCTTCACAGTGAAATACTGATACCATTTTAAACATCTATTAGAAAATAAATAAGATAATTATTAATAAATTTTAATATATGATTGATTATGTAAATTCAACATATTTTGAAAAAAAATATTTGTACAGTGAAAACATAAACTATACATAGAGCAAGAGAAAATTAAAAGAATGCTATAGCATGACACATTAAAAAATTTAATATTTTCATACAGACAGACATATAATTCTGGAATGCACACACATGAAAAAAGCCAAGCATTTTATACAGCAACATAATGCTTGTTCATATATTATACTTTTAAAAAATAATTAGGAAAGACAGTACTTTTAATAAAGGATAAAATATATACATATCACTGCAAATAATAATTTTCAATACTTTGTGACAAATTGTGCTTCTTCAAATTAGAAAACTTACGTTGCATATTAATTTACAAAATTGATATATATATACATATACACATATGTACTATTTTCAAGCAGTAAAAGATTGCTTCATTAAAAATTGGGCAGTGGCAGATATAAAGAAATATATAAACATCTTTTATAAATACTGAACATTCAATTATTTACATATAATATTTCTGCAAAAATAATATTTGGAATAAAATAACTTGTGACAAAAATCCTGAAAGATTATCTTATTCAGGATTTACAATTTTCATAATTTTAAATTAAGGGGAGAAAATTAAAAAATACCTGAAGATAAGATTTCTAATAGCTTTTGAATTTTTTCTAAAATTTTCCCATTGAAATTAAACTACTATCAATACACAACAAATTATTAATTACAATTAGCATTAAAAATCAAACAAAAATAAGATGAATTCACATTCTATGTAAAACCATTCACTCATTTCTACGAAGTACAGATTAATTTGATGTCTATTATGCAACACATGTTAACAGACAACAAATTACTAATTTAATTTCCTCTGCCCTTAACTAGATAAATGAAATATGGCAAAAATTAAAGCTTTCATTTTACTTCATGGCCAATACTTCAGGTAGTATTAACCTTAGGCAGATATTTGATAAAGAAAAATTACAAAACAAAATTCATTTTTTAATGCACACGACAAATTCAAAGAATACTAGAACATTTTATATGTATCATATGAAGAAAGCTTACAGGCACTATACGACTTGACATACATATTACTGACCATATCATGAAATTTCATTATCATTGTCAAGCCCAGTAGCTATTCTACAATTACCTAGAAGCATGAGACTCAACATAACTCGTATGATTTCACAGTCTTTATGAGCACCTATTGAGAAAACATAAAACAGCAAAAACATGATAATATCAATATTTCATTTTAACAGATTTAAAAAAAATGGAGGAACTGCATGATAATGGAAATTCAATGCATTAAAAATTTTTAAACTCTAGTCTAAGTTTAAAACTTTGGATAAAATTTAACATCTCAGAAAAGACTATAGAAAAAAATACAGCTGTAGTTACTACATTCAATAAATACACACACACACACATGACACAATGGGAAAATGAGGGAACTATGGCAAATGTAACAAAGAATTAGAGGAAAAGGCACAAAGTCTAATACATACAATTTTATAAATTAAAACATTTAAGACATTATTTAACAATAGTTTTAACTTCAGAGATAACAAATGCTGAAAGATTAAAAGGCTTTCACAAATACAGCAGTACGGACATAGTTGCATATATGAGCTTCAAAATTCCATTTGAAGGTGCATATAATTTTAATAATTAGACCAATTTTTATCAATTTTGGAAATGACAATGTATCAATGTTTAATTAAAGAATAAAATAATCATTTAAAAAAATCAATGATGATTATTTAAACTAAGCACAATTAAATAAAATTGTGCAGTTTTTAATAATACTGTTTCTTCCAAAGCATCATGAAATAAACATTTGTAGGCTGTTAAATAAATATAACATCTTTATTGTAACTTTGATAAACTCGAGGCTTTAATCATGTTACTTTTAATGCTAGCATTACATGAGATTTAACAAATCACGTGCTTTTTCTGATGTCATAAGCTCTTAAATTTGCCATTTTGATATTTCAAAATCATTAAATCTGATTTTTAATACAATTGCTATCACAGTACATATAAAAAACTTCACAGATGTTGGCTTGGCATTCCAAATCACATTTCCTAGCATAACAGATTCTTGTCGCATAAAAAATTCTGCATTATTTTCTTCATATACATAACATTATAGAGTAATTCAGAATCATCTCTGTAAGAAACACATTCTTCTTTACTCGAGAAACTGTTCACTCACACATCCATCTGATAAACTGTCTTCTAAATATTTTGCAAATTCTTTATTTGTTAACAGTCATTTCTTGCTTGTTTAGGTTAAAAAGGCCCTGATAAATTGTCTCTTATGTTGTTCATATTGTGAAAAAATTTACATGAAAAATGTTAAACAAAAAGAAAAGTGTTGAATTTAATGCATTTACTACCATGCCTTTACAACTACATACATTTAAGGCACAATACCAATTAGTGTGAAAACAATGTGTTAACATATATTTCACCACACACAGGCAGAACTAGCTATTAGATAAGACCACTTCACATACCAGCACACAATCAGCAGTAATCATATTAAATTTAGTGGTGTAAAAAAAATCTGGAGATGTGTTTTAGAAACTAACAGTTATCTTTATAAATAAATTGGAGAACATGTTTCCATTTTTAAATAGCATTTTCTGCAAACTTTCATGTAACTCTCGACGGTCTTCTACATGCGCAACATGGATACGAGCCAGTTTCTCTCAGAAAATGTTCCATGAAGGCACTTCTCCCCCTTAGGCAGATAGCCCTCTAGGGCTTTGCCATAATCAAACAAACCAAACTCAAGCAACACGTCTAATTTATAAGCATGTACTTCTCAAAAAATAGATTTCTGCATTTAAAAAATATTACTTTCTCAAGATACAAAACAATTAAACAACTGTTCCTATTAAGCAAAAAGGAAAAGCATAACTGAATACTGGATTTTACTTCGAAGAATTTTAAAATCTTACTTTAAATTTATATATTTTTTACTTTTAAAGCACCAGTTTACTATATTGTGCTATAGTTAAGAGAAATTTAGTGTTAAAATGAAAACTATACATATTTTACTTCAGTATTTATCATTACATATTCTTCAATTTCATTACAGAAACTGTTCTGAATACTTCATCATATACTTTAAAAAGTTTATATTGATTCCAATTTCAAACATATACTAAAAAAAAATAATACATTTGACATCTACATTAACTGTAATATATTAAGACACATCATGTCTTTTACATCTTCTTATATAATATTTATTATTCCCTGAAATTTTACATTACCTTTCATTTCAATTTGTACTTTCCTTTTCCGTGACTAAACTTGCTATACATACATTATATTATGGCTCAACAGCTGCTCTGTACATTATACCTGGCTCACAAGACTGTTGATTTACCTTGCTTTTTCACTGTCTTTTAATCCATTTATCAATATTTTGTGCCTTAATTATATTAAAAATTTCTTCTGCCCATGTGAAAGGGTACACTTCATTTCATTTAATAAAGTTATATTTTAATACAAATAAATTTTTCCCATAATTTTGTTTCCTTTTCTTGTCAATTTTTTAAATTGAGTTTATTATATCTTATTTTTTATTCATAAAAATGGTTTCTTAGAATTTGAATAATTTCTGATGGTACAATTTCTGTCTAGACGAAATAAAGGTTATTTACATGACTTAAGCTTGCAAAGTAAATTCTCTTTTGTTTCATATTTGGTAATAAATAAAGAATAAATAAATAATATATAAAGAGTTTTCAGTTATGTTGCTTTTATATTAATTGCTACGTACAGAATTATATAATTAACTTCATGTGCTACGAAAACACATTTGAAAATGAAGATATTGGGGCTCACACCTGATAGGACAGTTTTAACAATTTTCTTCTACTCTTACATGCAATAAGTACCACTGTAGTAGTAGTAATATCAGAGATACTTGCATTCCTTAATTTAACAATCACTTACTATGAAACTATCACTAGTTAACAATTGTGACAAAAATCCATCTCTTAATTACATATAAGAAATATATACCAAATCCCTTAATTATATATATCTAATATAAGAAAACTTGAAATAAGCATATCTGTAAAATTCAAAACCAAATATAAAAATTAAACAGTAGATGCCTTTAAAAACCATTTTCTTTGAAAACATAATTGCTACCTGAAATGGCAATTAACATGAAAGCTACAATATAAATACAAAATAAAACAGATTATTGTATACTATTTCAGCTTTATAAATTATCTTCAATAATTCTGAACAATATTTTTGTCATTTCCAAGAACAGAAATAGTTTATAAAGAATAAATTTATTGTCTCGAAGTTTTTTGTTATTTTTACTTCTGATACAGCATTTAAAAAAGTACAAATATAGCTACATTATACAATATTGTGTTACTAATCATGCAAAGTATTTGTCAGAATATGTGGGAAATATGCACATTACTCTTTATTTCTATTATTATTAGCACAATCCTTTTAAAATTACATATTAAATCAGCATCATTTGCTATAAGTTAACCTTTTCTGACTCAAAACTCCTGTACTTTATGAAATAAAACTGTGAGGTCCTAATTAGTTTTGAAACATTATAAAATTTTAATGTTTTATCTACACTACATAAATATAAAAGTTTCATGATAAAATGTTTTCATCTTCAAATATTTTATATTACTTACCACAGATGTTATTAAAGTTAGAAAATTTTAGGCAGGTTTTTTAAACATAAGCAGTTGAACTATCATTCATATCAGGTACTGAATTCTAATTTTTTTTAATATATAAAGGAAGAAAAATACAAAAACCAAAAGAACTAAGAAAGTAAAAAAAAAAAAAAAAAAATTCTTGTCCGACATATTTAAAGATTTTAAAACACGCAACATAAGATCACAATACAAAAATAGTTTTAGTATATATATATATGTGTTTTTGTACAACACAAAAATTTGCACAGTATCTGAAATTTTAATTATCAGAAGTAAATATATAATCTAGTCATATTCGCAACATGATTTAAAGCTCTAGATCAACAGAAAATATATTTAATATGAAAATATAAAAGAATGAATAAATACTTAATTTTTACCACTATTTTATAAACACACATTATCACAATCAATATTGTTCCAACAATTAATAAGGCAGAGAAATCATGAAACACTTTTACACTGAAAATATATATATGTACACACACACACATAGTTACGAACATGTACAGCCACATAAATATGAATACATGTCCATGCATTCAGATCTTGATAACATATTTTAATAGCACATACATGGAAACTATTTGCATTAAATGAACAAGACAATGAATAAAATCCTTAACGTACTAATACATGCTACTTCAAGCTTTAGAAAATCTAATACTGCTTCATAAAAAAAGAATATATGTACGAATATTGCCAAATATCGAAAATACACTACTTTGAACTATGTCTAAGAACTGAAAATCGTAATCAAAATATGCAGATTATCGGGTTATATATTTTTTCATAGTTTCATAGGGTTTTTCTTGACTATTTAAGTCTGTTTAAGGCCACCAGAAAGCACTTCTCAGAAGCAGTTTAAAGATGTCTTGAATACCAGTTAATCATAAGATGATACACTAAAATAAAGAAAGCATTATAATAACAAATTATTTAAAATTCCATTTAATGGAAGGAAAAATATAAATTTTAAAATACATCAGAAAAAAGATCCCGTCAAAATAATAATAATAATAAAAACAAGCTCTTATCAACATTAACACAATAAATGTTCACAGTTTTAAAAAAGCAATAAGGTAATTTAAAAAAAAAAATTAGACAAAAAATATTTTCCCCTTTTGCTTCTTTAATAATGAAATAATTTCCTTCATAATGAAAATATATTTTTTGTTATGATCCAACAATTTAAATGAAAAAGTATTTTTCAAGCAATACTATCATTAAAAAGGTGCATAAATGAGCGGAAAAAGCTAATTTAGCATGGTCTGTTGTGAAGGAATGGCAGGCTGCATACCGTTTGCCAGGACATGAAATGAATGCACATCTCCACTAAGCAACTTAGCAGATTGCATGAAAGAATCTGTCACGTCTGCTTTAGAGTTAGAGGGGGTATGCAAACCCTCGACCTCTCCACAGCCATGCCCATGAAAGGCTTTAATGGCTAGAGCGTTCACCACCAAATAGTAAATGTAACTGCCCATGCAACTCTCTGTCACAAAAGCTCTGAGTCAAAATGGTACTCAAAGATTTGTTCTGTAATACATACACTGCTATAAAAATTTCAACACCAAAAAAAAAAAAAAAAAAAAAAAAAAAAAAAAAAAATTATTAAATTTTACATGTGTAGTGCAAGTGAATATAAAATCAGAGCAAAAGGATCATTAATTACAGTGAAAACTACAAATGACTGGCGATTCTATACCTCAGGACAATCTAACCTGTGAACAGTACAAAGATAGAATGATTTTTCATGGCTTTCCGTCCTGTTCTTCAAGTTACTCACATAGACCAAACTACCTGTGGAGGTTCGACTGCTCCAATTCACTGCACTTCTTGCTAAACTCAGCATATTTAGTAATTAACAATATTTTCATATGTTGAACCTGATCATTAATTGTACTGCATGTTTTTTATTTTCTTAATTTATATGAAATTTTTCACTGTTATCTATATATAGATATGATGACATACAGAAACTGAATCTTTACTTAAACTTGAAATGCAGGAACCATTTCTTTGCAGTTTGGGTTAACTGTTTTTTCCCCTCCAAACCATTCATTTAGCTAAAAGTAAAACATAAAATCAGTAAATTTAGAAGGAAGTTATTTTCTTCTAATTCCTATGAATTTAATGAATTCTGCTTTGAAAACAGCAAAACTCGCAATTTTTGTTTCCTAAAGACATTAATTAGATTTTAATTTTCAGTTTCTTGAAATGCTCTAACTACATTTTGGAGCAGATGTTATAAAAATTATATCTTGTATTAATTGTCTTCTAAGACATATACTCTTCAAATTATGCCCAGACAATCATCTCCTTGCAATACATCTTGTTCTATCTTCTTCATTGCTAAATAAAGATTGAAATTATCAAGAAATGCATGGATTGCTTTTAAATCGCAAATATAAAGCTCATTTATTTAAAATCACAAGGAGTTTTCTTTTAAATTGTTAGCCATACCATAACAGTGCATCTCATTGATACAAATTACAATATATTTCATTTATATCAATTGGATTCCTTATTTAAAAAGTAAAAATAAATAAATTATTAAGAAGTGCATTTATTACCTTTAAATTATGCAGCATATCAATTAATGACTGGTTGATTGTATTTAAAAAATCAATTAAATTAAAGTTCTTATTCTTTGTCGAATGAAGAAATCTGAGATACTGCTTTGTGCAACACCAACACGAAAGATAAATCTTTTGCTTTACACTTGGGGAATACATTGCTTTAACATCTCTCAATTTATAAAGGGCAGATTAATTCAGCTCTTTGCGAACCCGCTCTCCATGCTCAACAATATTTATATTTCATAGCATAATTTTTAAAATACGACTTCTCGAACTGATGGAACTATAATGAACGGGAGACATACACTTTCTACTATATTTAGTGTTCTCAACTTAGGTTGACTGTTGCCAAAGTATGCTGCTGGTAAGCCAGCATCTACTGTGATTACATGATGCTATATGACAGATATTGAGGCATACATGCCCCATATGGTGTTCTGTGACATTTTGTTCCATTCCACACTGCTGTAAGAGCTCTCTAATTTGATAAAATCCTAAACTGTTTTTCTTTTTTTTCTTTTTTTTTCCCCACCCAAGTTATCCAAGAGGCTTAATTGATGAACTAATTGGTGATCAATTAAGCTAGGGAATAATGGTAATGTAGCACAGACATTTCTGTGACATCTTGGATGCACGTGATACCGTCATAAAAACTGTGGGAGCTGTATGCTGTAGTAAAGAGAATACAGGATTGAGGCATTCAATCAGAAGGCTTGTACACAAACAAGTACATGGTTACCATTGCTGCTCAAACCAAATTTCAATTTATTGCTGGCTTCATTCAGTTTTGATCCAGTCTTGTTGAGCCCGACACTTCAAATGGAGTCAACGATGGGTAGGTGTCATTGGCAGCACATGTAGTGGCTGTGCAATACCAAATGTCCAGTCAGGTGCCTCACAATGGTATGGACCAACACAGGGGCCAGTAGTAAAAGTGATGCTTGTGTCCTGAGGTGGACTATAACGCAGATGGTGCTTTTTGGGCATGTCAGAAGTGACAGTCCTTAAATCTCATGTGGTCAGTTTGCTGAGGGCATCCTCAGCATGGCCACTCTGTATGTGACCTCTCTTTCATCCACTGGTCCCAATACATCCTTCCCAGTCAGAGTGGCCTAAGTGGCTGACAACTCACCAAGCTGACCATGTGCCTTCCATCATCCTGATTCTTCTCCTCTCAATTTCTGACATCTGATCATATTATTTTCAATGGTAGTATAACATCCCTAAAGAAAAAGGCATCTCTGTGCAAGAGATTAAGTAGAGGTAAAATGTCTTTACATACCTTTCTATGTCCCACGGAGAATGAAGTTTAACACCCCATGGTGGCAATACCCAATGTGCAATTATGCTCTATTTCTAATCATTTGAATATCTGTCTAACACATGCTTTGCTATGATCCAACAATTACATTTTGAAGTGCAAATTTTGATGGCGATAACTAACACATATTTAGATTATTAAACTTAGAATAATGAAACAATGTTAACACAGAAATGCCTCAGCGGTATGCCTGAAATGAATACCTGTTAGATGTTTTGTTATAGTTAAATAAATGACTAAGCAAAAGCTATTGTTAGACTATCAATGTGAGGTTAAATTAAATGCACTCAGTAGTTTTTGGCTTAAATGTGTATTCCATACAACAGCACTAACAACAATCACAGTAACAATAAAAAAAATTTTTTTTTCTATAAACAGAAATAAAATTAATAATTTAAAAATTATTTTCATATGAATAACAGAAATTCTGTCTCACCTTTTTAGTAATATTTTAGCTTTCTTTGAATTTCTTTAACAAGTATGCAGATCAAATTGGAGTGGTAGTCACTCTAACCAACTAACAGGTTAATTTTTCAGGATACACATGCATTTAATAGGTTTAATTCAATTTTCATTTTCAATTATTTATTTCTCATCTATTCTTTGCCATGAAAGTAATAAACTATCCCATGAAATTCTGATCTTTTTAACAAAATCAGAAATGATAATAAATTTACAACAGAATGAAAACTGACTAATACTTTGCTTCATATACTGAATAAATATCTGATCATAAACTATTTCAGAATCATAATATTTATTATCTGAAGAATACAGAGAAAATTCCTCAGTAGCAATTTTCAGTTTCTATAGTACTATAAATTTCTTTAAACAAAGTATATATGTATATATGATATAGATAAAAAAATATAATTTAAAATAGCAATACCGTGTGGCTGCTTAATTTTAATCTGAGTATTTCCCCTTTCTATCCTAAAAATAGCAATCTCTTTCTTGCATGTCATTTTGAAACTAATCCATGTCATATCATCACTTACGTAATGGTAGTGATGTAACTGGAAAATTCAAACAGCTAGTAATAATTTTACAGCATTATTAATTAACCTATTAAATGCACAAGAAACCAAAACTAACTCATTCCGAATTAAGATTTCATCCTGAACACAAGACATTTGCTTTCTACGCTTTTGCTTAGCTGGATTGCTGCTTCTCTTTCTCACCACAAAGCTATCAAAAATGTAAATACTTTGAAATAAGTAAGAATTAAAGTATACATTGTTTACGACTGCAATATGCTTACTGAAATAAAGATGAATATTTAATCTGCCTTGGCTGCCAAGTTGTTCTTCATTATGGATCAGCACTCTATGCCATCAATTTTTCTATAATATCCTTACATTTAAGTTTGCTTCATTACACACACAGATATATATTATATACCATATTTGCTGGCATAGAAGACCCACTTTTTCCTTTAAAAAGAGGTCTGAAAAACGAGGTGCATATTATACGTCGATACCATCAGGAAGAAGTAATAAATAGGCCTCATTTCGCAGGTTTTGTGAAAGGGGAGCTCCATGGAATGCTGTGAAAACAGAGACAGTGAGTCATTTAAGAAGTGTGGCATGAGGAATGTACTGGATGACACAGAGGGCAGTTTATTGTATAGCGACTCAGACATTGATTTAGAAGAGCTTTCAAGTGACTCTTCATTTAGCTCTGGAGATGAGTGTCTGGGTTTTGATGAAGATTAAAAGGTGTTCTTTCCGAGATAGATTGGGTTTTTGCAGAAAGTATTACTTTGTATTACCTTATATTTAAAATACTGTAAATTCATTATAATGATCAGTAATTAAGTTTTATCCTTAAAAAATGTTTTTCTTCTAAAAGGGTGTGTGTCTTATATGTCGGCAAATACGGTATATGAATGTGTGTGCTTATATATATATATCAAATAAAAGCACAAGGAAAAGACGGAGCAGTCTCGATGCGTAATAGCTATATAGGGTAGATCTATACTGAAGAGGAATACTTCTGATTACGTAGTATACTAATAATGTTGACTTGGTAATATCTAAGAAACATGGCAGTCGAGGCAGTTTTAATTCCATTTTTATTTTCCAGTTGACGTTTGTGCCCACAATCACTTTGCAGTATAGTCGTGCCTTTTTACAGAACATTTACATTTTTGATATTAATTCAACAGCAAGCAAGACAGCATTTGGCGACTGGGTCTCCTAATCCCCAGTCATCCTTTAAAAAGGGGATTATATAAGGTATTTTCTCCCTCCTTCTAGCATGCCTTCATGGTATAACGGTTAGCACAATCAGTGAGTATTCGAGAGGTCAGGTTCTGGTCTCGGAGAGAGCATTGCTTATTTTTCATGTCTCCCCCATTTAAAAAAAAAAAAAAGGCTAATGACTCTACAATAAGAACTAAAGATCCATACAGTATAAAATTTTATATTTAATTCAAGTTGCCTCAGTCTAGACCAGCGGTTTTCAACAGTTTTTCCCTCATGTACCCTTTTCACCATTGCTAGACGATCATTCAATCCCTCCTTCCCAACACTTGAAAAGTACATATTAATTTATTTAAATATAAATTATTTTAATGCGTTTTATAAATGAAACAAGTAAAAGTATAAAAAATGTTGATAAATACCAAAATTTGAACAAAAGTGTTTTTTTTTTTTTTTTTTTTTAATATTCATAAACTAAATACTTAACAGATAAACAAAAGGTTGAACAGTTTACTCCCTGAAATTTTCCTTAGGGGTTCCTTCTGATTGAGGACCCATAGTCTAGACTGAATTAGTTTTTAATAGTGACTGAACGTCCAGATCATTTAATTTGTCATACTTCTTTTATACTAACTTTTGTTATATAAAACTTGGGATTACATGCATGTTTTTTGAAAATAAAAGTTAAGACATGAATTTTTAAAAAAAATTATGTTTAAAATTTGATGCTGAATTCAAAAACGTTTATTTGGTAGCCAGACCTAATAAACTTAAAAGATTGAATTTGACTTATACCTTACTTGTTCTTACTAACTTCTGTTTAATGAATTATTCTTATGAACGAATCTTAAAAACTGGTGAAACATTTCATGCTAGAAAACAAGATATTAGAAGCTTTTGAACTCATTCAATATGGGAAAAAATTATTCAAAACGTAGCTCCATAATTATGCCTTTTTCTACTAGATCGCCAACACATGAGGTTTATATGAAATATCTCCTACAAGTTATGTGGTCACTACTTCTGTATTGTCAGAATATGAAATTCGTACAGGGAAAACAATACATTTCAAGGTGAAGAAAATCACCTTAATTTGATATTTCCTCTAAATAATAAATTTTTACATGATATGTATTCTTTTTCTCTAGACGAAATAATATTTAATATGTAATAACAGCATAAAAACCAAGAAAGAAGTGTTTGAGTGAAATTCAGTTTCTAAATGCTCTTTAACCCTTTGCGGCGCACTATACGTTAACGTCGGAATTTCAACAAAAAAAGTTGTATGCAGTCTATTTAGTCCTAAAGGAGTATACAGGTAAAATTTTGTAAAAATTGCACTTACCGTTTTAATTCTGTGGGTGTTCCATGAGGTGGAACACAGTGCCGCCAGAGCTTTTAAAAGTGCGACTAAGCGAGCATTGCAGTGAAGCACGAAAATGAGTAGAAGCGTTTGTATAAGAATGAAAAAACTCTGTATTATGGCTGTATACATGGTTTCCTGGATATACACAATATTCTTGAATATATATGGATAAATGAGATAAATATCTATATACACAAGTCCTATATACAAAAATATTTACAAATTTTCGGAAAGAGCGCTTCAGAAAGAGTTAGACTTCTCCGCGCTATTTATGGAAAATTAATAATAAAAAAATTAATTACGATTAATAATAACAATAAAGAAAAATAAGTCTATGATATATGCATTCACGAAAAATATATACACAATTATTGAAAATAAACGGGACAACAGCAAAAAATTCGCGCAGGTCTAAGTAAAGATGAGTCAAGCTACTAATAAAATTCCCGCCTAAAAATTAGTTCCAAAAAATTCGAGATGCCAATATTAAGACTTTCATAACACAAACAGACCTCACCCCTCAATACTGCTTTGTTTGAATTCATCCCCCCCAAAGCAACGGAAACAGAAAACGTAAACAACGGATGTTCTCTCCTAAGTAAAGATGTTCTGATTCGTAACAGCATGAGATCGCTAAAGGCGCAGTGTTCCCGCTAATGGAACACCAGGGTTTATTCAATGATTCTGCGTATGGTTTTTGTCTGAAAGATTAAAAAAAATATAGAACAGATAATTTGGAGTACAGCCAGCAAAATTATGCCTAATTTTTTTTTCCAAATAACATTTTTTATATCATTAAAAAAATAGAGAAAATTACTTGAAAAAACGTGGATTTTAATAACACATAATAAATGAAAATTCTGTGTCTCCTTGTGATATGCTGTTATCTACTGTTTAAAAAGAAAAGTTCAAAGTATATTATAAAGGCATTTTTATCTATTTACGGTTGAATTTAAAGGTTTCAGAAGCGATTCAATTTGGGTGTTCCATGTAGTGGAACACTGAGCCGCAAAGGGTTAAATTTGCTTCACTGAAAGTTTTTGCATATAAATAATTATGGTTTAAAGCAAAATGAACTGTTTTTTTTTTAAGTGTTTACAGTTAATAGAGTAACATAACATTTTTTATTCAAATAAAGTTTATTTTTAATGTGCAAGATTGCTTTTCTTGCAACGCTGGACTCATTGTTCTTAAATCCTCTTGTTCTTGAGTTCAGAATCCTTCATTATTTAAATTATTCGAATAGTTAAATATTTTTTCAACCATACAAAAGTTAAAATGCAAAATATTAATTTTACTTAAAATTTTTAATATATGTAATTATTTAATTTTTTAGAAATAGTCAATAGTTTGCTTCAATATAATATACATGTTTAATTAGTTCATCAAAACATTGTTAGAGACACTATCCAATCAAGAAGTAGCATGCTGCAAAAACACTGATTTATACCTTTAAAAAGGTTAAGAAATATTTTCAAATAATCTTCAGTAATATTTAATTCCCTTTTTTTTTTTTTTTTTAAAAAATATTGAAATTCTAGCTAAATCCTTAGATAGAAATTATTCAAGAACTAGACTAAGGAAATGCAAGAAAAGGGTTAACTTAAATTACAAACAAAATTTCAGATATTGTTATTTTCTAGTAACTAACAAAAAATCCTCGTTAGATGAGGGATAAAGCAATTAAGCAAGGCTGTCTTAACTGCTTTTTCACTCAGCTGGGAGCAAAAGAAAAGCAATGTAATGGTTTCCCGTCTGAATAGCCAGCGACCAGTTAGAAAACTGCATGACAAAAGCCCACAAGATGAATGCTCACATAAAAACAGCACACATTTTTAGGAAATCCAAAATAGCTATGACTTCCTGAAAAATTTTATGAATAATAATTATTATGATTAAAAATGAAATTTCATGCGGAAAGGAATTTATTTATGTAAAATCAAAGTTGTCAAAATTTAACTAAAATTATTTTAAACCGTGCTTTTAACTCACTATTACAACAGCATCTGTGATAGCACACACAAATGGTTTCTTAATCATAATAAAATACTTTTATTTCTTAATCACACTAAATACTTTTATCTTTTTCATTGAAATAAAAGTTTGGTTTTAATTCTTCACATTAAATTCATTATGTGTATGCAAAATTTCCTGGACTGTTAAATTATTCATGAATTATTCTCTGTATGATGAAAATTTACATACATCTTTTACACCTTATAGCTTTGCAGAATTAAAAGAAGCAGTGTGGCCAGTATTCCCTTTGTCGGACTTACGCAAGGGCACTTCGCTTTGTTGCGTAAATATGACAACACAGTTAAACATACATGTATATGTTTTTAATTACATTTTTTTGACTGACTCTCTGTTCTGTATACATATAGGGTTTTAATTCAGCCGAAACCCAAAATAAAATGTGTTCCGCTACTTAAATTTATTGTTCAATTATTGGTTCATGTATCTGCTTTGTACAGCTGAAAAAAATATTAATTTTAACGTAACATATATATTGGTGTGCATTTTTGTCAGTGTGGGCTTTTATCAGCATGGGTTTATATCTATGTGAGTTTTTATCAATGTGGGCTTTTATCGGTTTGGGTATTTGCCACGTGGGCAATTATCATAGTGGGGTCTTTTGTCACTTGTTCTTTCGTCCAGTGGGCTTTTATCTGGTCACCCTTTTCATCATTTTATTATGTTATTATTTTAAAGTTTATAGATTCTGCTGTAAAAGCACTAATTCACAGTGTTTCTTTTTTCTACCAACTACATAAAGTTCAGTTTTTTTATTCTTCTCGATACCTGACTTTTAGTTTTATATACCAAAATTGTATTTGTAGTTATTGGCAAAACCTTTTTTTAATTATATCAGTTTCTGACTGAAAGAATATTAGCTTCTGATTTTGTAAGCATTAATTATAAATTTCAATTTGTTAAAAAACTACTATCTGAAGTTTAACAAGTTTTTTAAACATTGAGCTTGCAAATAAGAAGTTTAATCATTCAAACTAATAAATGAATGCAAAAAATGAATAAAAAATGGACAAAGAGAAATAAAAACAATAGTTAAAATTTAAATCTATTAATTAAAGAAGACAGAATAGGTGAAAAAAATTTATTTGTACAAGAGAAAACAGTAAAAGTGGAAAGGAAAATGAATATATATCAGGAGAGGAAAGGTCACAGAATCATGCAGAAGTTTCTTTGATATGACTTACATCCCTAGATCTGTTTCTTGTATTATGTTGGGGAACTTCCTGCTGTGGCCTTTGATTGTCCTGTTCTCTCATCTCTTCTTCTTGTAATCTTTTTGCCAATTCCTCACTTCAGTTATTAAAAAAATAATAACAATTAATACACTTTTATGCCAATAAATTACAAATCTACACTATAATAATAATAAATAAATAAATAAATAAAAATGCTGAGAGATTTTTGCCATAAATTTCAGGCAAAAGAAAACAATAACATAAGCATATTATAGAAAGAATTCCCCTTTCTTATAATAAAGATACTGTTTCTTGTACATAATCCCTTACATTAGCTACAGAGTTCAGCTGCATGAATGATCATTGACTGATGCATTTTCACCCATCAATGATTTCAGCAACAGAAATTATAGCAACACCACCAGAACAAATGAAATCTGAACATTTCCTCTGTTCTACTACTACTAAACTTTAAAATGTTCCCATTTTACAAAGATATTATCAATACACAAAAGTGTATGCTCTACTCAGAATTTCAATCCAGGTCCATCGGTGTTGGAGCTGCATCTGTGGACAATCACACTGATGTAATTATAAAGAAAAGATACATTAAAATCCCTAGTCCTTATCTCAGTATTTCTAGAAAATTAAAGCACTAAATACCCAATTATTTACAATAGGAATATAACAATATTTGGTCTTGATTTACTATAACACCAATTATTACAATTTTATTAACAGTAGTAAAAAAAGTTAATTCTCTGAGTAGCATGGCCATATTATATATATATATATATACAGCTTAGAATATAAGTGTGATATCTGTAAGGAAGTATATACGTGTATCTTGAAATAAGTCCGGAAATTCAGGCAATATATTATTAAAAATATATAAATACAGGCATAAAGTACCAGGGTAACCTTGGTATTAAACCAGGAAAATATCTTTTTCTCATGGCAGTTTTATGAAATTTGAGCTTTTTTAGTGAAACCCCATACCAGTCAAAGAGTTAACTCTTAATGTAAATTTTAATTAAATCGAAGGGGGAAGGCAAATTTCAATATTTCTTGCTTCACCAACCTAAAAAAATTTATAAACATTTTTAACAGCAGCCATCAGCAATTTCATTTAGCATGTGCGTTAAAGGGTTATATTAACAAATATCGTTAGCTTAAATAAAAAAACACAGAAATATTACTGATAATTCCTAACAATGAGAGAACATAGCACTTCTTCCACCCTTTTCCCCTCCCCAGATTCTGCATAATTATAGAAGACATTAAAATAAATGCATGAATGAAGACAATGAACAAGAGAACTTCTCAGCAACAAAAGTTCTACGCAATATTCACTTCTCAGCAACAAAAGTTCTATGCAATATTCATAGTCTCTAAATTTTATTTCCTCAAACAGGATTGTTAAATTTAGGATATAGCATAAAGCTCCTAAATCAAAGTCCTTGCCCGAATGGCACAGTTGCCAGCAACTTGTTTTATTGGTATTAATTGCAATATCAAGTTATTTTGAAAGAAAATTCATTAATGAAGGAAATTTTTAAGTGACTAAAGAATGAAACAAAGAACTTCATTTTAAAAGCAATTTTTCACATATTTTATTCTATTGCAATTATCCATAATATTCATAATAAAAAACACTGACATCAATCGTAACTTTTCTTAAAAATTTCAAGGGAGGAGGGAAGTATTCCTATTTATCTTAAAAGAAAAATGAATAACTTCACATACATTGATTGTATTGGATTTATATTTTTTTCTATTATTTTATATTATTTTCCAAATACATAAAATTTTAATTTGATAAACCATTATTTATTCAATGTACCTAATATCAGCAATGGATATTTGAAAATTTTTATGACCAGCCAGTTATAAATAAATTTATTTGTTGTGCTTTATTTTTTGCACTATTCTCTTTAAATACTTTTTCATGAATAAATTTTCTTTCAAAATAAAGTAATATGGAATAAATATAAAAAGAGGATATTGGCAGCAGAAGGATTCAGTTTAAGGATTTGAACTATGTGATATCACAGGATTAGCAGTACTGAGAAAGGAATAAAAATAACATGAATGTTGCACAGAGCTTTATCCTTGGTTTCCTTGCCTCACTTTTTTTTGGGGGGGGGGCTTTCTCTCTCTGTTCATACATATCGTAATTTCCGGAAGAAACGCCGCGGCGTTTACGTGTTTAAAACTTAAATTTTCAGCGGGTGCGGCGTTTAGGTGCGCTAAAAATAAAATATATCCTATGATGGTCATTGTACATAGTTTGGATGGCCTTGTCATTGTGCATACACTGGTGCTGTTCCCACACAAAAGACCACTCAGTTGCTTTTTTGCGAACGTATTTTTGTTTACATTCTTTCCCTGAACTGACCTACATGCCTTATTCACCCTAAACGAGATCTCAGAACAATAAAAACATTCTTCCCCCTTTCAAATCAACATTCTCATCAGTTCGAATAATCTCTCTCCTCTGCCATTCGATGAATCTTCCAGGACCCACCTCTCCCCACCACTCTGCCTTTCTGCAATTTTTTTCAAAGGCGGACACGACTCCACCTGCCTCGCAATAACGAACTCTGACGTATTTCCCCTTCAGCATGAATGGATTTTTCTTGGAATTCTGCCAGATACAGATCCCATCAGTTTGAGTACAAGTACTTGTTGGATAGTTTTTAAGACTAGCGTCTACATCCCAAAACGGCAGCCTACGAGAGAGGCGATTCTATTATTTTCCTCGGGGAGTAGGGGAGTTAGAATGGTTTTCTGAGAAATGCAACGGCAGTGGACTAGATGTTTGCTTACATTTGGAAGTTCAAAAAATCGCTAACGTGGATTGCCTTAGTTTCTACGGTTACTTACAGGGAAATATTAGGCAGTTTTTTCGGTTTGCTGATAGAGGGCAAATAGACAATTTACCTTTATAATCCGCGTTTATCTATTTAAACTTCAGAAGATTTAAGATGAAGAGAATATATTTAACACAACAGAACGCAAGCTTAAGACTTGTAAATCTTTTAAAAAACAATACATCGATAATTAAAAACATTATTTATAGTTCATTATTAAAAAATTAACTGGTATGTCATATATCAGGACTTAGTTGAGTTTTTGCATCTATACGGCCCAGGACAATGTCGCACGCAATTTAACCTATTGCGGCGTTTACGCTGATGCGGCGTTTCTGTGTAATTTTTATTTTTTTCCCGCCAATTTTCTCGGGTGCGGCATTACGCTGATGCGGCCTTTCTTCCGGAAATTACGGTATATTTACTTTAAAGTTTTTTATAATTACACAGAATCTGGGCAAAATCAATGAGATGACAGTCATACAATCCTCTTGTAGCAAAATATTATGAAATCCAAAACTTAAACCTTCTACCCTTCCAGAACCATGCTCTTGGTGAAAATTTAATTAATGCAATTAAAACAGCTAACACTATATACTTAATAAAAAGATTTAAAAAAAATTTTTTTTTTCACAAATCATTCCCAAGACAACCATATAATCAGATCTGTGACATATTAAAATCATAATAGTTAAGAAACAGAAGCCTTGTAATTGGGTCAATTCCTATCAGAAATAATAATAATAATAATATTACTGAAAATTTTATCATGTGACAGCATGAAAAATGCAACACAAATACACAGATTCTGACAGAAATACAAATGCTCACCTTAAATGTAGGCCATTTACAATCAAATTGTACAGAAGTATAATTAGACAACAATGAAAAACATATTAGATTTATGAAATTATCTAAAAAATCTCCCAAGCAATAATCAGGGTTGCCACTCAAACAGGAGAATGAAATTCCCTGACTTTTCAGTTTTCAGTATGTTCGAGAAAATCCAGTCTATCGCGTATGTAGTGGCGGTGCTAAGAGGTAATAATATGGTATACTTGTACTGTGGCAAATCACTAATTATGCATAAATCCCGAGGACATTTATCTTAATAGTCTTGGTACCTTTGTTTGATAATTTGTTCTTTTCCCCTTAAAAAACTTAACTTTATATATATCATTGATAACCAACTGCACGTTTATTTATATACTCATGATCATCCCCAGTCAACCAGGCTAATCGGTCTATAAGCCAACGCAATGCTAAAGTTAGGGTATTTAGGAAATTTAATTGTGAGTCGTATTCTTAAAGCCACCTTACACTTGAAAACACAAATATATATAATAAGGTTTTCCTCTCTAAGATTGCGTTAGAATCTGACCATCGGCTAAAAAGGCTTTTTTGCAGACATCTCAGCTAACGATAGAAGAAATTATTTATGATATTTTTTAATTTGAGGTTTTAGTTAGTCGCAGCATAATAAGAAAAAATATGTGCATTAATTTTGTGATGTCATAACTGCCAGATTCCTTCGGCTATGCCAAGAAAATTTTGACATTGGAATATATTTACTAATGTAAATAAATTTAGAGGGAAGAAGCAAATTAATAATAAAACAAAAAATAAAGATAATACTTAAATTTTATTTAAATATCACGATACTTAGCGATTTTTAGTTTTAATGGTTCCTAGATATTTTTACTTTACTCAAAATGACAAGGTATTATTAAAAAGAAGAAAAAAGATTTTGCGGTAAAATCTAGATACGATACAGCCCACACAATTTGAAAATGTCGCCAAGAAAAAAATGACCCGTTTACTGCTCATCATCATGTCGCCAAAGCCGCTGTACCATACTGGAATATTCTCACCAAGAATGTCTATGTAAAAAGCGGAGGGAAATTTCCAAGGATTTGCCGGAACGCCAGATTTCCCTCTCCGCGTGTGGCCTGAAATTGAGAAACACGTGTAAAACAACGTTTGACCAAAAGAAACTACTAAACCTTTTTATATGCGAAAACCAGAAGAAGTTTATCGAAGAAAGATTTCTTTTCCTTACGACCTTTTAAACGATGATTCTTTTATGAACTTATAACGGACCTTCGAACTCGACACCGGTTTCGCCTTGTCGAGATATATCTCGCATGCCCACTGTTTGCCGCTATATGGAACCGACCACGTCGTTGCAAGAGGTTTCCTTCTTTTATAGTACATTTTTTTAATTCTAACCTTCATGTACGTATACTAGA